ATTAGAAGAAAAAACAAACAATAAGAAGCTGTCTCTATAACAAAAAAGTACAAGGAGAAGCAGTGATGACCGAGAAGCTTCAGCCAATTATTCAGAAGATCAAGCTAAGGTCATGGCTGAAGGAAGCTATACTAAAAAACAGATTTTCAACGCAGATGAAACAACTTTAGGGTAGCTGGGACTACAGGCGCCAGCCACCATGCCCAGCTAGTTTGTTTGTGGGGTTTTTTTTTCCTATTTTTATTAGAGATGGGGTCACTCTTGTTCAGGCTGGTCTCAAACTCCCGAGCTCCAGCAATCTACCCACCTAAGCCTTCCAGAGTACTAGGATTACAGGTATGAGCCACCATGCCCAGCCTTCCTATTTTGAAAGTTCTTCTGTGGGTAAAATAGCACCATATGCTACAGAGAAATCTTTCATGACTGAGTGAGTCAATTGATTTGTCAAACTTTACTGCTGTCTTATTTTAAGAAATGACTGCAGCCACCCCAACTGTCAGCAACCACTACCCTGATCAGTCAGTAGCCATCTACATCTAGGCAAGATCCAACAACAAAAAAAAATATTACAACTCACTAAAGGCTCAGATGATTGTTAGCACTGTGGGCAATAAAGTTTAACTTTTTTTTTTAAAGTTCTCACTCTACTGCCCAGGCTGGAGTGCAGTGGTGTAGTCATACAGCTCACTGCAACCTTGAATTCCAGGCTCAGGTGATCCTCCTATCTCAGGCTCCAGAATAGCTGGGACTATAGGCACAAACGGCCACATCCAGCTAATTTCTTTTTATTTTTTGAGGAGATGGGGTCTCAAACTCCTGGGTTCAAGCAATCCTCCCCTTGCAGCCTCCCAAAGTCCTAGGATTATAGGCATGAGCTTCCACATCCAGCCTAGCAATAAAGTATTTTTAATTAAGGTATGTACATGTTTTTTTTTTTTTACTTAACAGACTATAGTATAGTATAAACATTACTTTTGTATGCACTGGGAAACCAAAATGATTGTGGAACTCACTTTATTGCAATTTTCACTTTATGGTGGTGGTCTGGAACCAAACCTGCAGTATCTCCAAGGTATGCCTATGTAGCAAAGCCTGACATCTTTATTGCTAGAGAATTCAGAAAGTCTGATTAATAGCCCAAAACTAGGAGCAGCAGGGAGCCTGCATGCAGCACTCTCAGGCTCTCATGGAGCAATTATTGCAAACTGAATCCATCAAATGTTATGCACAGTGTAGGCAGAAGGAACTTTACTATAATATCCATGTGTGGACACTGAATTCCAATAGCACTCTCAGCAGTTAATCATTCTTCTTCTAGAAATTCAAGGTTTGCACCCCTGTTTTCACCAGAGAAATAATTTTCAGATAGAAAAAAAAATGACTAGGCAGATTGTGAAAAAAAGTTTCACATATATGTTCAATGTACTTCTTGCAGGTATTAAAAGTAGCAAACTTTACTCAAAATTAAGTGAAGATAAGCCTATCAAAGACGTAAGATTTTAACAAAGCAGTCCATGACAACCATTTCAAATGCTTGGAAATCTGTCTCAATTTATTTCAGACTTTAAAGTCATCCATGTACTATGGTAGAATTAGACCTCTGATAAGTATAATTATTACTACACATTTTGAAAATTTGTAAATATTCTTTTTTCAATAGCTTTATTTGTACATAATTGATATATAATAAACTGTACATATTTAATGTATGCAATCTGAAGTATGAGTTCTACCTTCTTAACTTTTTTTAAATCCACAACTAAGAATTGTTATCTAAGAAACTATGCTGCACAGCAGATCTCTAGAACTTATCTTGCATAACTAAAACTTCATACACTTTAATCAACTCCCTTTTCCCCCCTCCTACCGGTCCCTGGAAACTACCACTCTACTCTCTGCTTCTATGAGTTTGACTACTTTAGATACCTCATACAGTGGAATCATGCAGTACTTGCCCTTCTGCAATTTGCTTATTTCACAAAGCATAATGTCCTCCAGGTTTATCGATGTTGTCACCTATATAATTTCCTTCTTCTCAAGGCTGCATAACATTCCACTATTATATACCATCACATACCACATTTTCTTTATCCATCCATTGATAGACATTCATGTTGTTTTCAAATAGTGCTACAGTAAACATAAGAGTGCATATATCCTGATTTTGATTCTCTTGGATATACCTAGCAGTAGGATTGCTTGATCATACGGTAGTTCTGTTTTTAATTTTTTTAATTGAATCATAGCTGTGTACATTAATGCAGTCATGGGGTACAATGTGCTGGTTTTATATACAATTTGAAATATTTTCATTAAACTGGTTAACACAGCCATCATGGCATGGAGAAACATACTATGCTCATGGCTGGGAAGAATCAACATTGTTAAAATGCCCATACTACCCAAAGCAATATACGATTTTTTTTTTTGAGACAGAGCCTCAAGCTCTCTCCCTGGGTAGAGTGCCATGGCTTCACTGCTCACAGCAACCTCCAACTCCTGGGCTCTAGCGAGTCTCCTGCCTCAGCCTCCCAAGTAGCTGGGGCCACAGGCGCCCGCCCCAAAGCCTGACTATTTTTTGGTTGCGGCCATTATTGTTGTTTGGTGGGCCCGGGCTGGATTTGAACCCGCCACCTTAGGTGTATGTGGCTGGCACCTTAGCTGCTTGAGCCACAGGCGCCGAGCCGCAATATACAATTTCAAAGCAATCCCTATCAAAGCTCCACGGTCATACTTTAAAGATCTCAAAAAAAAACGCAATACTTCGTTTTATATGGAATCAGAAAAAACCTGGAATAGCCAAGACATTACTAGGAAATAAAAACAAAGCAGGAAGAATCAAGCTACCAGACCTCAGACTATACTATAAATCGAGAGTGATCAAAACAGCATGATACTGGCACAAAAACAGAGAGGTAGATGTATGGAACAGAATAGAGAACCAAGATGAACCCAGCTACCTACCATTATTTGATCTTTGACAAGCCAACTAAAAACATGCAGTGGGGAAAAGATTCCCTATTTAACAAATGGTGTTGGGTGAACTGGCTGGCAACCTGAAAAAGACTGAAACTGTTTTTAACTTTTTAAGGAACCTCCATACTGTTTTCCATAGTGGGTCTGACATTTACATTCACACTGAAAGTGTATAAGGGTTTCAGTTTCTCCATATCCTTGAAAACACCTATCTTTTGTCTTTTCGATAATAGCTATCTTACCAGGTATAAAATGATATTTGATAATCTTCTTTTCCCTGATGATTAATGATGTTAAGCACCTTTTCATATACTTGTTGGCCTTTTGTATGCCTTCTTTGGAAAACCAACTATTCAAGTCCTTTGCCCATTTTTAACTGTTTTTTTTTTTAATTTATGTGATTAAATTGTAGGAATTTCTTACGTGTTTGGATATTAACCTCCTATTGGATAAATGGTTTACAAAAGTCCTCTCCCATCCTGTAAGTTACCTTTTCACTCTGTTATTGTGTCCTTTGCTGTACAGAAGATTTTTAATTTGATATAGCCCT